TTATGTGTGAGGGCAGCAGGCGGTGGTTATGTGTGAGGGCAGCAGGCGGTGGTTATGTGTGAGGGCAGCAGGCGGTGGTTATGTGTGAGGGCAGCAGGCGGTGGTTATGTGTGAGGGCGGTGGTTATGTGTGAGGGCAGCAGGCGGTGGTTATGTGTGAGGGCAGCAGGCGGTGGTTATGTGTGAGGGCAGCAGGCGGTGGTTATGTGTGAGGGCAGTGGTTATGTGTGAGGGCAGCAGGCGGTGGTTATGTGTGAGGGCAGCAGGCGGTGGTTATGTGTGAGGGCAGTGGTTATGTGTGAGGGCAGCAGGCGGTGGTTTTGTGTGAGGGCAGCAGGCGGTGGTTATGTGTGAGGGCGGTGGTTATGTGTGAGGACAGCATGCGGTGGTTATGTGTGAGGGCGGTGGTTATGTGTGAGGACAGCATGCGGTGGTTATGTGTGAGGGCAGCAGGCGGTGGTTATGTGTGAGGGCAGCAGGCGGTGGTTATGTGTGAGGGCAGCAGGCGGTGGTTATGTGTGAGGGCGGTGGTTATGTGTGAGGGCAGCAGGCGGTGGTTATGTGTGAGGGCAGCAGGCGGTGGTTATGTGTGAGGGCGGTGGTTATGTGTGAGGGCAGCAGGCGGTGGTTATGTGTGAGGGCAGCAGGCGGTGGTTATGTGTGAGGGCGGTGGTTATGTATGAGGGCAGCAGGCGGTGGTTATGTGTGAGGGCAGCAGGCGGTGGTTATGTGTGAGGGCAGTGGTTATGTGTGAGGGCAGCAGGCGGTGGTTTTGTGTGAGGGCAGCAGGCGGTGGTTATGTGTGAGGGCGGTGGTTATGTGTGAGGACAGCATGCGGTGGTTATGTGTGAGGGCGGTGGTTATGTGTGAGGACAGCATGCGGTGGTTATGTGTGAGGGCAGCAGGCGGTGGTTATGTGTGAGGGTGGTGGTTATGTGTGAGGGCAGCAGGCGGTGGTTATGTGTGAGGGCAGCAGGCGGTGGTTATGTGTGAGGGCAGCAGGCGGTGGTTATGTGTGAGGGCAGCAGGCGGTGGTTATGTGTGAGGGCAGCAGGCGGTGGTTATGTGTGAGGGCAGCAGGCGGTGGTTATGTGTGAGGGCAGCCGGCGGTGGTTATGTGTGAGGGCAGCAGGCGGTGGTTATGTGTGAGGGCAGCAGGCGGTGGTTATGTGTGAGGGCAGCAGGCGGTGGTTATGTGTGAGGGCAGCAGGCGGTGGTTATGTGTGAGGGCAGCAGGCGGTGGTTATGTGTGAGGGCAGCAGGCGGTGGTTATGTGTGAGGGCAGCAGGCAGTGGTTATGTGTGAGGGCAGCAGGCGGTGGTTATGTGTGAGGGCAGCAGGCGGTGGTTATGTGTGAGGGCAGCAGGCGGTGGTTATGTGTGAGGGCAGCAGGCAGTGGTTATGTGTGAGGGCAGCAGGCAGTGGTTATGTGTGAGGGCAGCAGGCGGTGGTTATGTGTGAGGGCAGCAGGCAGTGGTTATGTGTGAGGGCAGTGGTTATGTGTGAGGGCAGCAGGCGGTGGTTATGTGTGAGGGCAGCAGGCGGTGGTTATGTGTGAGGGCAGCAGGCGGTGGTTATGTGTGAGGGCAGCAGGCAGTGGTTATGTGTGAGGGCAGCAGGCGGTGGTTATGTGTGAGGGCGGTGGTTATGTGTGAGGGTAGCAGGCGGTGGTTATGTGTGAGGGCGGTGGTTATGTGTGAGGGCAGCAGGCAGGCGGTGGTTATGTGTGAGGGCAGCAGGCGGTGGTTATGTGTGAGGGTAGCAGGCGGTGGTTATGTGTGAGGGCAGCAGGCGGTGGTTATGTGTGAGGGCAGCAGGCGGTGGTTATGTGTGAGGGCAGCAGGCGGTGGTTATGTGTGAGGGCAGCAGGCAGTGGTTATGTGTGAGGGCAGCAGGCGGTGGTTATGTGTGAGGGCAGCAGGCGGTGGTTATGTGTGAGGGCAGCAGGCGGTGGTTATGTGTGAGGGTGGTGGTTATGTGTGAGGGCAGCAGGCGGTGGTTATGTGTGAGGGTGGTGGTTATGTGTGAGGGCAGCAGGCGGTGGTTATGTGTGAGGGCAGCAGGCGGTGGTTATGTGTGAGGGCGGTGGTTATGTGTGAGGGCAGCAGGCGGTGGTTATGTGTGAGGGCAGCAGGCGGTGGTTATGTGTGAGGGTAGCAGGCGGTGGTTATGTGTGAGGGCAGCAGGCGGTGGTTATGTGTGAGGGCGGTGGTTGTGTGTGAGGGCAGCAGGCGGTGGTTATGTGTGAGGGCAGCAGGCGGTGGTTATGTGTGAGGGCAGCAGGCGGTGGTTATGTGTGAGGGCAGCAGGCGGTGGTTATGTGTGAGGGTAGCAGGCGGTGGTTATGTGTGAGGGCAGCAGGCGGTGGTTATGTGTGAGGGCGGTGGTTATGTGTGAGGGCGGTGGTTATGTGTGAGGGCGGTGGTTATGTGTGAGGGCAGCAGGCGGTGGTTATGTGTGAGGGCAGCAGGCGGTGGTTATGTGTGAGGGCAGTGGTTATGTGTGAGGGCAGCAGGCGGTGGTTATGTGTGAGGGCAGCAGGCGGTGGTTATGTGTGAGGGTGGTGGTTATGTGTGAGGGCAGCAGGCGGTGGTTATGTGTGAGGGCAGCAGGCGGTGGTTATGTGTGAGGGCGGTGGTTATGTGTGAGGGCAGCAGGCGGTGGTTATGTGTGAGGGCAGCAGGCGGTGGTTATGTGTGAGGGCAGTGGTTTTGTGTGAGGGCAGCAGGCGGTGGTTATGTGTGAGGGCAGCAGGCGGTGGTTATGTGTGAGGGCAGCAGGCGGTGGTTATGTGTGAGGGCAGCAGGCGGTGGTTATGTGTGAGGGCAGTGGTTATGTGTGAGGGCAGCAGGCGGTGGTTATGTGTGAGGGCAGTGGTTATGTGTGAGGGCAGCAGGCAGGCGGTGGTTATGTGTGAGGGCAGCAGGCGGTGGTTATGTGTGAGGGCGGTGGTTATGTGTGAGGGCAGCAGGCGGTGGTTATGTGTGAGGGCAGTGGTTATGTGTGAGGGCAGCAGGCGGTGGTTATGTGTGAGGGCAGCAGGCGGTGGTTATGTGTGAGGGCAGCAGGCGGTGGTTATGTGTGAGGGCAGCAGGCGGTGGTTATGTGTGAGGGCAGCAGGCGGTGGTTATGTGTGAGGGCAGTGGTTATGTGTGAGGGCAGCAGGCGGTGGTTATGTGTGAGGGCAGCAGGCGGTGGTTATGTGTGAGGGCAGTGGTTATGTGTGAGGGCAGCAGGCGGTGGTTATGTGTGAGGGCAGTGGTTATGTGTGAGGGCAGCAGGCGGTGGTTATGTGTGAGGGCGGTGGTTATGTGTGAGGGCAGCAGTGGTTCTCGGGTGTGAAATATAGCTAATGGCGGGTTACCGGGTGTACCAGTAGCTGGTGGCGGGCAAGGTCACGTATATGACCCATGGTCACGTGTGTGGTTTAAGGTCAATGGTTATGTGGTTAAATGGTTAAAAGTTAACCTATTCTAAGTTCGGCTGTGTTTACACTCAACATTGCTGTAGACCAAAATAACCCGCGAGCCTTTAAGCAACTCATCTTCAAAGCACCCCCTTCCAGGCTCCCCCCCCCCTCCTTTTTGGTGATTGAACCCTAACGCTAATCCAAACACCCCCATTCATAGCCATATTATTTTACACTGAACCCCAAACCAATTCAGACATCTTCATACCCCCCCCCCCCCCCTCCCTTTTTACATTCCGCCCCAGTTTTTCACACAAGAACCGCCCATAACTGTATATTTATTTACATTTGGCCTTCGACAACACATTTTGACAAAGCGAGCGGAACTCCCCAACCGTAGCGCTTGTTTTGTACTGCGTGAACTGCTAGCTACAGAAAGCGGGTCTTGTGGTAAATAAAAACTCACGAGACAGCCCGGGATTTCAATCTGAATGTATTGCTTGGATCTCACGGTAAGGCAAGTCAGGTAAGATACGACAGCCTGCATTGAGAAAATGATTTACATATTGAGCTCTATAGCGTTACCTCAACGATAGAGGTTGTGAAAAGAAGGGGTGGGGGAGAGGGTACAAAGACTGGTCTCAAAAGGGTGTATTTTTTTTAAAAATAAAAATTATGACTTGGGCATGATTTAATAATAATTTAATACCCACTTCTCTATAGAAATAGTTGGAACCGTGGTAGTGGAGTTGCTAGAGTCTAGAATTTTGTCACCAGCCCCGCAATTTAATCTTGCTTTAACTTTTCCTGTACGAATGCCCAAATGACGTTGTAGAAAAAAAAAGTTCCTTTAGGGTATAAAACAGTTGATATTATTTTTATTGTAAGCTTTTCTTTAGTTCACAATATCTTTTTTTTTTATTGTTTAATAAATAAGTTAATCAAAGACAATATATTACATCTTTGTCGGATTTTTAAAAAAAATTGTGGTCTTTTTAAAAGCCACTCAAACACTTACGTCCCCCCCCCCCCCCCCGCTCCATACAACAAGTTCAACCACTAACACCACATTTACATGTGTGCTATATATGTCGAGAAAAAAACATACAAGTTAATGTTACATAAAAACATTTTTCCCACGGAACGTGTATACTTGTTGCGAATTTTCTTTTTCTAGACAAGTTTACATGTCGCCAGTGTGAACGCTGTGTAATATTACAGGCCTACAATAAAACGTTTTTTTTTTATAATATAAGGGAAATGGGGGAGGGGTGGTGAGGGTTGACGACATACCTGTCTGTATCAAACATCCAACTCTGACCCCCCCCCCCCCTTTCCCCAGGATGCCCAGACAGCTGTGGCAGAAGAACCAAGATGATACATTGCAATCAAGTCTAATAGTTTCTTTAAAGGTCTTCTCTTATTAGTATTTATTAACTTAGTTTTTTTTTAAGTTTTTATCTTTCCATGGGGGGTGGGGGGGTATTCTAACTGCCTTGACCTTCTCAGTTTTGTACCCCCCATGCTTGACACTTTGAGTTATAACTATGAACAACGATAAGCTTTGTCGCAGTCTACGGGAATCCCCTCAGTTTTTTTTCATGACAAGAGTATCTAAAAATAACCTCGGGGTCATGTGACACTCGTGGTAGGCTCAAGGTCTGCGACGACAGTCTTTCACTAGCGCTGTACGAAAATGGCGCACTTTGATGCAGCTTTTGATAAACAGTTTTTACACGAGTTTGGTTGAACGTGTCAATACGAAGAGCCAAACACTCAGGTAAGCTGTTGTTTTTTAAAGCTTCTCTTATCAGGTATGGCAAGTTTGACTTTTCTTTTAAAATACTCCAAAGCTTAAGATTCGGATATTGATAAAAGCACCAAGTGCCATACTTAAGTGCGTCTAGGATTACTTTTCCAATCAATATCTTACTCAATACCTCAATGCACTTAATACCTTAATGACTGCGCTGTATCAGTGGTGGTGTAACGTAGAGCCCTAACTGGAAAGACGCCAACCCACAAAATGATTTTTTTAAAAATGAAATACAAGGGCAAATACAACACAATGATCTCAGTTATAAAACGAATAAAATACATGGGAAAATATACCACGATCTTAGTAATAAAACAACCACTCTTCCAAATCGGCCAATTTAAATTATTATCTTTTACATTTTACCAAGCTATAAGTTTTGTTACATTTAGTTAATTTAATCATCCGATCAGGTATTGTATATAGAGCCTGTATAATATTGTGAGTGTAATTGTAGTGGTAGACAATCATTTGTTTTTGTAAACGAAGTTGAATTAATTCGGGGTTAGGCACCTGTGCCGGTTGAGCTAAAAGGTCCTTACCTGAAGATGATTGGAAGGAAACTTCAGAAAAGATGGACAACTGGAACTAGAGAGTTTAAGATTTAGCTAGATTTTTAAAAAAAACATAATCATGTCAATAAAACTAATGTATCTTAAAAACATGAAACCGGCTGGCTGCAGTGGGCACACAAAAGGTCTACAGAGTGGGATATACAAGGTCTACAGAGTGGGATATACAAGGTCTATAGAGTGGGATATACAAGGTCTATAGAGTGGGATATACAAGGTCTACAGAGTGGGATATACAAGGTCTATAGAGTGGGATATACAAGGTCTATAGAGTGGGATATACAAGGTCTACAGAGTGGGATATACACGTTCTACAGAGTGGGATATAGAAGGTCTACAGAGTGGGATATACAAGGTCTATAGAGTGGGATATACAAGAGGTCGGCGCCCGGGGACATATGTCCCCCCCCCCCTCGCTACGCTACTGTATTACCCCCTTCATGTGGGGGTGTTACCCTTTTAGTGTGGCCTCTTATCCCAAAGCTGGGATACAAATCCCAGTTTATTTGGTTAAATTAATCTTTTCTAATTTCTTATCATGTCTGGGTATGTGTACAAAATGTGCTCCCCCCCCACCCCCGTCATAAACAGATTTGTGTTGCTATTTTTAACCAACACACCATACATGGCTGGAAGTTTGAACACTTGGTGGTGCCTTGTGTTCCCCCACTTCTCAGTTGAGTTATTCAGCTATACCTGCAGCTATACCTGCAGCTATACCTGCAGCTATACCTGTAGTGTTTGATTGGCCACTACAACTGCATGCAGTAGATGTCCGCGTCATGAGCACCGCTACGTACATACACGACTACTAGAGCAAATATGTACTTTTTTCTTGGATAAGACTCTCGACTCTTAACAAACCGCTAGTCGCATTATGCAGAATCGTGTCTTGCCTGTTTATCTGCCGGTATTTCTGTTAGTGTATAGGTCATGGATTTATAGGTCAGAGTTAGGGTCAGGAATATTGCTATGGTTAATGTCATGGCTAGGATTAGTGTAGCGATACTATCACTCGCCTAAAATCGCCTCTACTGTTATTTCCTGGTGTCCTTGGTTTCTTCAATATATTTCTCCATCGAGAAGTGTGCCTATGATTGCTGCTTATAGATTAGTCATACCCACATATTCATAGATATCGCTGATGATACTTCAACTCAACTCTATAACTAGGGATATTCTTATCTCTAGCCCTTGAGTTAAAGTATCTTCAGCTCTAGTAATGAGAATATCTGGATATGACTAATCACACCTAAATCCCCCTCCCCCCTTTTTTAAATTTTTTTTAAATTTTAATTTAAAGGTGTGGGTGTGTGATTAGTTGGCAAATAAACTTAATCTTAACTAGATTAGATAAATCATAATTAGATTAGCTTAATCTTAACTAGATTAGATAAATGATAATTAGATTAGCTAAATCTTAACTAGATTAGATTAATCTTAACTAGATTAAATTAATCTTAACTAGATTAGATTAATCTTAACTAGATTAGATGGCACTGATGTCAAAAGAAAGGGACCAACATCTCCGACAAAACAGTAGAAAAGTATTTTGTAATCTACTTGATAGTTTTTTTAAGTATTTCAAAGACAGAAAAGAACTAAGGTTTCTGTGAGAGTCTAACAATAGTAGAACCCATTTATAAAATTCAGTTACAATTAATTGTTTCGTAAGTGGGTAACTGCTAGGTAACTGCAAATCGTCATACGGTTTGCGTCAGGTGTACACAATGTATATAGTGTGGCATGTGTACATGCTAATTGTTGACATTTAACCCGAGCGGCTGTTGACGTTTGTACACATTGCTTGGCCTGGGTTATCAGACACGACATGGCCGTCACGTGGTCGGAAATTGCTGTACACCCACGTGACAACACAGATACCAAAAAGTCTTCCCCCCATGCACGCTGGCATGTTTCACTTCCGGATGATTTCCAAGTGTTTTGACTCGGAACTTCCGGCAAGTCACGTGACTGCTCTCTTCCATACGTCTGCAGACGTCTGTAATGTTTACACCTCTCTACTTCACCTACATTACTTTTCTTTACCAATGGCCACTTGACAGGGTTTGTAAACCGCGAACCCGAAGACGCGGGTTCAAAATCGTGATCTCTCAGCAGTCAAACCGTCGTACAACTGAACAAGTTTGATCAGCTGGTTTCCAGACTAATCGTGTTCTACAGTTTTCTGTGAAGCTCTTGAGAGAAACGATAAGGGTTTAGTACTTGGTTAGAATCATGCTAACACTAACTGTGGTAATGGTTTGGGTTAGGTTTAAAGTCTAAGTATCTAGACGGTGATCTTATACAACCATGCTTTGAGTGTGTATACTTAAACATCATCTATAATTATCGCGTGCTGATTGTTTGTATGTGTCCTACTCCATAGTTTAATTTTAAAAACCTAAGAAAAACTTCATCACTAACATTTAAATCTTCCAGGTATTGGACCAATCGCAGTCATGATAACAAAATTTACTCTCTCGTGTTTGCTTCTGGCTGTTTTAACCAATGGATCGGAGGAATACGATTTGCGTCCTCCGGAAATGACGTCTTCGGTTACTGGCGAAATTAATTCAAATTCGGGTTATAAAAATACCTGGTCTGATAATAAGTCAACCAATCAAAAAGTTAATAATTTGATTCGTATGGTGATCCCATCCAACGATGTTGCTCCTGTTCACGATGTTGATAAAAAAGACGCCGACCCCACAAAAAACATTGAACTACAAAAGTCCTCACCTAGTCGCACTAACAAGCAAACACTGGACTTACATGTCAATAACAAAATGACCTCTAACCTCAAAAACAACTACAAATTAGAATGTTTTCTTGAAGCTACAAAAAGCCCAGCATGCAATTCTACTTCCTACTGCATATATTCGGGATGTAGGTGCTACAACGAAACAAATTGCTGTGATTGCAGCGGCCTTCGCCTGACGTCCGTCCCTGACAAACTGCCGCCTAACATAACAAAACTTGACCTGTACAACAACGATTTAACTGAGATAAAATACAGTGCGTTTGGAAATTACTCACGCCTTAAAATATTGCATTTGAATTCAAACAACATTTCAAAGCTGAACGAAAGCTCGTTTTTGGGTCTGGAAAACTTGACGTTTCTCCGACTAGACGATAATTCCCTAGCGATGACCCCTGACACGTTTCCCGTGGGTGTCTTCAAGCCTTTGGTGTCCCTCACGGCCTTGAGGTTGAATAAAAACTTTAACTCGGCGGTAGGAGGGAACAATTTTAGTTACCCAGATTTAGCGCTATCTGACTTGAAAAACTTGAAGGCGCTTTATATAGACGGGCTGACGAACGCGTCGTTTGGAGTGGGATTTAGTAGGATGACTTCATTGGTCAACTTGACCGTGACTGGCTATCTGGACGGATACTGTAATATAACTAGTTTAAGCAACACGACATTCCAGTACCTGGGACACATCAAGGTCCTCAACCTCAGCAACTGCCACCTACGTGGGGGGCATATTGACAAGGATGCCTTCACGCCTTTGGTGAGCCTAGAGATGCTGGACATCCACTACAACGAGGACATTGGAATCAAACACCTGCAGCATATCATGCACGGGCTGAGGAACAACACGAACCTGTGGTGGCTGGACGTTAGCACCATCGAGTGGCGCTACTCCACCGGAACTCAAGTCAATGCCAGTCACGTGACCAACCTCCCCAAGTCCTTGACCACTCTCAAGGTCGCGGGGAACAGCATTGAGAAGATAGACAACGATACGTTCGACCATCTCCCCCCAAACTTAACTCTTCTGGACATCGGAAAAAACCGAATCGTGTTCGGGGTTTTCCTTGAATTTCTCCCAAAACTGACCAAACTCCAGACTTTACTGATCAACGGCGAAGATTTCCTCTACAACATCCCCACATCATACAAGAAAGAATTCATCGAACATTTTCATTCCAACCGCAAGAGGAGAAGCGTTGGGGATGACAACGCTCTAGTATTCCACCTCCCACCACAACTGTCCCGGATAGAAATGGTTAACGCTGAGTTGCAGTACCGTCTGTCACGGCTGACGATAGACAGCAACAACTCCCTGACAGACCTTGTGTTGGACAGAAACTTTTTGCCTGAGCTGCAAGGTCCGTTCATCGGCTTCAATCATTTGACCACTCTCAGTATCTATTCGAGCTATGTTAGTTCCCTGGAGTGGACGTTTTTCTCCAATTTCCCGCGTTTGGAGAATCTTAACCTCGGCACAAACCTACTTGGGGATTTTTTAAACACTCTTGACGATCCTGTTTTCGCTAATTTGACAAGTCTGAAAAAGTTAGATCTTTCTATTAACACCATTCAAAATTTAAGTTATGGTTTATTCATCGGTCTCAATAATCTTACTATTCTAGATCTGTCAAACAATCGTCTTTCGGAATTTAATGTAAATATCAGTGGGATGAAAAACTTGAGACTGTTAAATCTGAGTCACAATTCGATCTCGTCACTTCCTGATGACGTGATGGAAAGCATTGATTGGCTGATTGACCACCAGATACCGGTTGAGGTGGAGCTTAACAACTGCCCTATTCTTTGCACGTGTCAAAACTTGAAATTCCTAACCTGGATGGTCAAGTCTCCGGGCTTTAAGTCGTTCAAGAACTATATCTGTGCTCACGACGATGTGTACGTACGCTTGACCGACGGCTACAACAAAACCGTGGAGCTGCTGAACAAAGAGTGCGCATCCAACGAGAAGCTCTTCCTGTTTGTTGTTGCCGCCACGCTGCTCGTGCTGATTGCTCTCATCGGTCTCATGATCTTCCGCTTCCGGTGGAGCCTGCGGTACCTGTACCACGCGGCGATGCTGAACTTCCATAGACGACACGAGACAAAAGGCAACAAATTTGACTATGACGTTTTTATCTCCTACGCCAACCCGGATGAACTTTTCGTCCTTGAGATTGTCGAGCCGGGTAAGTCTTTAGGAGAAGATAATGTATCTTTTGGTAATATACATATTAGGGTGTTGAAGTTTCCTTGATAATCACATTGTCTATTTGCCAATTACATATTTTATGGCTATTTCGGTTTAACCCAATTACCTTTGTGTTGATTGTTCTTTGATTTTAAAAAAAAAAAGCCGAGCTGGGTCATTAGTTACTTATGGTTTCCTTTTTATTTGGTCAGCATAAAAAAATGTTGGAAGTTTATACACGAATTTTTTTTCTTTAAAATTAATAATCAAGAAATTAAATGACTTACTCTTTGAGTTAAGGTGAATATTACAGTAAAAATACTTTTTAAATCTACTTACTTGAAAGACTTCCTCAATACTTCCATTAATATTGAATTAGCATTATTTTTACACATTATACATGATTTATATTTAGCCAGGGCATTACCTGGCCGGATCAGTTGTTTAGTATTCCAAAAGATTAACAAAACAAAAAAAATAATAAACCTGGAATGATCTACCCTAAACTTTCTCAAATATTCTTATATAAAACAACAGGGGATGGCAACTCGGGATATAGACATGATTTTTAATCCATTTTTAATTACTTAAACTTTTTAAAATAGAACAGAATCTCGTAGAAAAAAAAGAACTGCACACTGCTTCTGTGAAAAACCTTTCTGTTAAAGACCATTACCTGTGTGTTTAGTAATCATCATAAACCCGGCATTGCCCACCCAAACCACAACCAACCAAAACAACAAAACGCAAACATAACGCTAACACAATTACAAATACAAACGAAAACAAAAACCTAACAACAAACCCAACCACAATCACAAACACCAATACAAACACAAAGAAAAAACAAACAAAAAAGCAAACGAAAACAAAAACCTAACAACAAACCCAACCACAACCACAAACACCAATACGAACACAAAGAAAAAAAAACGAAAAAGCAAACGAAAACAAACCAAATCCAAACGCAAAACCAACCACAAACACAAACCCAAAGAAAAAAACATGTATATATATATATATATATATATATATATATATATATATATATATATATATATATGTATATATATGTATATATATATATATATATATATATATATATATATATATATATATATATATATATATATTTATATATATATATATATATATATACAGCTAACACCACGGTCAGCAAAGCATCTCATCCCATACCACTCCACCTCTACACCATACCACTCCACCTCTACACCATACCACTCCACCTCTACACCATACCACTCCACCTCTACACCATACCACTCCACCTCTACACCATACCACTCCACCTCTACACCATACCACTCCACCTCTACACCATACCACTCCACCTCTACACCATACCACTCCACCTCTACACCATACCACTCCACCTCTACACCATACCACTCCCGTCCATCCGTTTGTCAATTTAAAAAATAAGTTAAAAAGAATTTGTCTATTAAAAAGAACGATTTAAATCAGTTATAAAGTTAATACAATGTGAAAACATAATGAATTACATTTTAGGGAATGAATCTAATATATAAAGCTCAGTTCTGTAACGTGTGGCAAAAAACAAAAAAGTTTGTCGTTGACACTTCTACGGATTTAAGTGTTAGATTTTTTATCGTGCTCAAAGTCTAAATTTACGAGTCGAAAAATTACCATTGAAAGTCTTTAAAAACAATTTTCATTCTATTTACTTAGAAGAATAATTTTTAATTATGAACGCGACATAAAATTTTTAAAAAGTGTATCGACGTTTATAAAATTTCTAAAATTGTGTCGGAAATGTATTGACTGCAAGTTACTTCCCTTTAATGAAAAATAAATCCTTAAGAAGAGAGAATTAACATTTTATTACTTTGTTTTTGGTGTTAAGAAAAAAAAAATAATTACACAATTAGCGGGGATTGATTAAGTGCAATGTCGTTAGGTATTTTTAACACTGCCTTTTATTTATTCTATACACTGAACATACTGTTCAATAATTATTATTTTTTTTTTAAATCAATAACATTTAATAAGCCAGGTCCTACAAATCATATACGTTTATTTCTTTCCATTTACGGATAAGCTTGGAGTATTATCATTTTTGTTCACTAAATTGAAACAGGCGCGTCCGCCGGCGCCCCTGCACGGTTTGATTTGGCACCCTGGGCTATCATGTGAGCGCTATGCTGCATAATTTTGTTTTAAACAGTGCGATAGACTATGGATAAGAAAGGTTACTATAGTCTTTAAGTGAATCAAATCCGGGCGTCCTCCGGCACCCCGACAGGGTGCTATTTGGCGCCCCGGGCCTTCCGGTGTACGCTATGGTATCTACGTTCGCGTGAGTTCAAAAGACTATAAATAAGTTATGCACTATAGGCGTTAACTAAGTTCAATCAGGCGGTGACGTCATGGTGCGTCCTCTGGCGCCCAGACAGGGTGCTTTTTGGGGTCCCGGGCCTCCCGTGTTCGGTTTCGCGCCTACGTTCACTAAAGTGAGTGCAAAAGACTATGAATAAGTTGGGGTACTATAGTCGTTTATTAAGTTGAAGTAGGCGATTCAGCCCCGTGAGCACTTTGCGTTTATATTCGCGTTAGTGTTTTCTTTGTGTTTAGGTTGGGTTTGCGTTAGTGGTTGCGTTTTGATTTGGTTCGTTTTTGTTCTTTCTTTTTTCGTTTTCGTTTGTGTTTTATTTTCATTGGGTTTGTGTTTGTATTTGTGTTTGAGGTTGGTTTTGCGTTTGGATTTGGTTTGTTTTCGTTTGTTTTTCTTTTGTGTTTTTTTTTCTTTGGGTTTGTGGTTGGTTTTGCGTTTGTATTTGGTTTGTTTTCGTTTGCTTTTTCGTTTGTTTTTTTTCTTTGGGTTTGTGTTTGTGTTTGTGGTTGGTTTTGTGTTTGGATTTGGTTTGTTTTCGTTTGCTTTTTTCTTTGTGTTCGTATTGGTGTTTGTGGTTGTGGTTGGTTTGTTGTAAGTTTTTGTTTTCGTTTGTATTTGTAATTGTGTTAGCGTTATGTTTGCGTTTTGTTGTTTTGGTTTTGGTTGGTTGTGGTTTGGGTGGGCAATGCCGGGTTTATGATGATTACTAAACACACAGGTGATGGTCTTTAACAGAAGGGTTTTTCACAGAAGCCAGAGCAGGGCCTGGCCGGGACGGCTAGTCTAATATATAAAGCTTAGTTCTGTAACGTGTGGCAAAAAAAAAAAAGTTTGTCGTTGACACTTCTACGGATTTAAGTGTTAGATTTTTTATCGTGCTCAAAGTCTAAATTTACGAGTCAAAAAATTACCATTGAAAGTCTTTAAAAACAATTTTCATTCTATTTACTTAGAAGAATAATTTTCAATTATGAACGCGACATAAAATTTTTAAAAAGTGTATCGACGTTTATAAAATTTCTAAAATTGTGTCGGAAATGTATTGACTGCACAGTTACTTCCCTTTAATAAAAAAAATTCTTAAGAAGAAAGAATTTACATTTTATTACTTTGTTTTTGGTGTTAAGAAAAAAAAATAATTACATAATTAGCGGGGATTGATTAAGTGCAATGTCGTTAGGTATTTTTAACACTGCCTTTTATTTATTCTATACACTGAACATACTGTTCAATATTTTTTTTTTTTTAAATCAATAACATTTAATAAGCCAGGTCCTACAAATCCTATATGTTTATTTCTTTCCATTTACGGATAAGCTTGGAGTATTATCATTTTTGTTCACTAAATTGAAACAGGCGCGTCCGCCGGCGCCCTTGCACGGTTCGATTTGGCACCCTGGGCTATCATGTGAGCGCTATGCTGCATAGTTTTGTTTTTAACAGTGCGATAGACTATGGGTAAGAAAGGTTACTATAGTCTTTAAGTGAATCAAATCTGGGCGTCCTCCGGCACCCCGACAGGGTGCTATTTGGCGCTCCGGGCCTTCCGGTGTACGCTATGGTATATACGTTCGCGTGAGTTCAAAAGACTATGAATAAGTTATGTACTATAGTCGTTTACTAAGTTCAATCAGGCGGTGACGTCATGGTGCGTCCTCTGGCGCCCAGACAGGGTGCTATTTGGGGTCCCGGGCCTCCCGTGTTCGGTTTCGCGCCTACGTTCATTAAAGTGAGTGCAAAAGACTATGAATAAGTTGGGGTACTATAGTCGTTTATTAAGCTGAAACAGGCGATTCCGCCCCGGGCTAGACTCTGAGCACTGTGCGTTTATGTTCGCGTTAGTGTTTTCTTTGTGTTTAGGTTGGGTTTGCGTTAGTGGTTGCGTTTTGATTTGGTTCGTTTTTGTTCTTTCTTTTTTCGTTTTCGTTTGTGTTTTATTTTCTTTGCGTTTGTGTTTGTATTTGTGTTTGTGGTTGATTTTGCGTTTGTATTTGGTTTGTTTTCGTTTGTTTTTTCGTTTGTGTTTTTTTCTTTGGGTTTGTGGTTGGTTTTGCATTTGGATTTGGTTTGTTTTCGTTTGCTTTTTCGTTTTTTTTCTTTGTGTTCGTATTGGTGTTTGTGGTTGTGGTTGGGTTAGTTGTTAGGTTTTTGTTTTCGTTTGTATTTGTAATTGTGTTAGCGTTATGTTTGCGTTTTGTTGTTTTGGTTTTGGTTTGGGTGTGCAATGCCGGGTTTATGATGATTACTAAACACACAGGTAATGGTCTTTAACAGAAAGGTTTTTCACAGAAGCCAGAGCAGGGCCTGGCCGGGACGGCTAGTACATTTTAAAATGAAAGTAAATGTCGCACACAAAAAATGGCGAAATTCCAAAAATAAATAACTTCCACAGAGCTAGTCAAAAGAGGGGTCAAAGTTCACATCCACGGGCGCAACTTTGTGGCGGGAAACTTTATCGCCTCCAACATCGTGAGCGCCGTCAGCATGTGCCGTAGGACCTTGGTCATCCTGACCGGGAACTTCTGCAAGAGTCACTGGTGTAAATACGAGGTCCAGGTAGGTGGAATTATTATTGTGCTTGCAAGTGCTTTTAAAAATATCTAAACAGTAATTCCAGTTCTAATCTAGAACTAAACGATTAAAACCTTTTCTTTATAAGCAAAAAATAACGTTTAGTTTTGGTTTGCCAGTAAATAATAATCTATTATTAACAAAATGCGTTATTTTAAAAAATAAAATGAACTGTTATATTTAATTTAGGCGTTGATTTAAAAACCACTGAAATCTGTGTCTGATTTAAGACAAGACTGGCACATTGTTCAGCTCTAAGGGGTGACACCACATGAAAAATGTTTTTCTTTATTATGCATGTTAATGATAATGTAACAGATTTATTTGTTCACGGTATTTGTTCTCTAAACAAAAAAATGTATAAAATCATATTTTGTAGTTCTAGCTGCCCCGAAAGCCATGAAATGTTTAAATTGAACACATTTTCAAAACTCTCCATCTTTGCTCGCTCAATATTCAAAACAAAATCTCATTTAAGATATTCACTTTGCTGTTTATTTTTTAACTTTTTAAATGTATTTTTAAATAAGAAAATATACAACAACAAAAAATAAGTAGACGGTTTTACATAAACTTTAATATTTTCTAAGTATTGCAGTAAAATGAAAACACAAAACTTGAAAAGTAGTGTAATGCTCAAAACGTGTGCAAAGTTTCACTTTTGTGTTACACTAGGTTAATGGGACGGCGTAGTAAAACTTACGAAAGTTGTTTTTTTCCTTCAAAAAGATAGAATTGTTAACTACGTGTAAATTGGTTTATTCTTTTATCTTAGTTTAAGGCGTACTAACCCAGTTTTTTTAGTATTGCAATCACAATAAACAGTGTATTTTTCACTAAAAAATGTGTAGGCCGATAATTTTAAAATTATAAACGAAAAAGAAATAAAAGTTTAACAAAAAAGTTTAACCGCGTGTTTTGTTTTATCTAGTAACAATTTAACCACCTAGCCCACATCATTAGTTGATAACAGATCGCGAAAAGGCTCAATTTCTGTACCTTAGTACGATTGGTCAATAGAATTAATGAATCATTTTCCTTTAGTAATCATTTAAACATTTAAGTAAGCCTATATATGGCGGCATTGCCTTGACCGTAGTGGTTGCCTAGACCGTAGTATGACCTTGACCTTTCTATTTCAGATGGCTAACATGGAGTCGGTCCACGACGGACGTCCGGTGCTGATATTCCTGGTCAAAGAGAACATGGCGGCCAAGAACCTAGGCGAGCTCATGTCCTTCCTCCGCTGCAACACTTACGTCCCCTACCCACAGGGGGAGCAACTCTCGGAGCGGGAGATGAAGGCCATGTGGGACAAATTGGCGCAGGACCTGCGCTAGCTGTAGGACCTCAGCGATGACATTCAGGTCTAGATCGTCTCATGGAGAACATTTAGGTCTAGATCGTCTCATGGAGCTAATACGCTGGCTGAAGGACATTCAGGTCTAGATCGTCTCATAGAGGACATTTAGGTCTAGATCGTCTCATGGAGCTAATACGCTGGCTGAAGGACATTCAGGTCTAGATCGTCTCATTGAGGACATTTAGGTCTAGATCGTCTCATGGAGCTAATACGCTGGCTGAAGGACATTCAGGTCTAGATCGTCTCATAGAGGACATTTAGGTCTAGATCGTCTCATGGAGCTAATACGCTGGCTCATAGTTTGGAGGACATTCATGATGTCCTATTGCTGGCCTTCCAGGATCCTCTACACCACAGTACTTGAATGGCAAATACCCTTGAGCTCTAGCAGTCATTATTTTCGTGTGCCGACAGCCATCCTTGCAAGGTTCACACAACAATGTAACTGGATATCATTTATAGCCTCGGGCATATTGCTTCATCAACCGTATAAACGGGTCCTTCAAAGAAAAATATTGGATTACTAATCAGGCGTATCGTTTTACCACATACGATGCCCATTAAACCAGTGATAACAAAAACAATTAAACTGTTTGGAGTTTAAATCAAAATCGATGTTACAAAGGAAAACAAGGTTTTTTTTAAGCTTTGACAACCTTTTGACAGCCTCTTGACCGTTGTGTGATTTCTTATTACGGCATGGTGTCTTGTATTAATCAGGAAAAGAATTTTTCAATATAGAAAATTCTTTTTTCCCTTAAGAAAACATATTGTAATAAATGCTGTAACTGTATATGTATTTTTTTCTTACAAATTGGTTGCAAATTATTATTTTTATTATTGTTGGTTATAAATCATTTTATTTTTTAATTTAAAAAAGAACGAGAGCCCATAAGTTTTATTGCTTCTTAAAAACATTTCTATATATCTTCCATCAATGAGAGATATGATTTTTTAAATATATATTTAGAATCAGTCGGTACACATCTTCCTAAGATCCACTCTTTGATGCTTTTCTCTAAACGTGCAGTTTTTCCGTGAGAGTCAAACGGTATGCTTTCTACAAATCTTTTTCATAAACAAAAACAAAAGAACGATTTATCGGAAAAAAAGGTAATCGTAACTTGTTCCTGGAGCTATCACTACCCCATTTGTTTGCAACATCAATTTTCGTTATATCAATGGATACATGTTTTATTTTTGTATTGTGGGAGGAGATTGACAAATGACTCACAAAATGGCTTCCTGTGTTATTTAACCCATGCTACTTAGATCGGCCACATGAGGTAGACATATTAGAATTGTAAGCTATAACATTAAAAATAATTTCCCCGCATCATCACTATTATAGTTTAACTTATCAACCGTAATGGTATTTAAACTACTTAATAACTAGTTGTTTGCACCCGTTGAGGAAAAGTTGCAACGGGGCCTATTCTGCTAATTTTCTTTTATCACATTTTGACCCTTCTATTATGAAATATGGCCTGCAGATATGTAAACCATAGCTCTATTCGGGTTTGTATCTGAATCTTAAATTCCAAACTAACTCAGTATTTGAAGAAACGACAAATTTTGACACAGCTGAAGGTCAAGAACTTGTACGCTAACTTCGGTGAGTATGTAAATCTGAAGACAAACTCGTAAGAATATGAGAATTTGTTAAACTGGAGACACTTTCCTCAAAAATGTGAGAGTTAGGAGACACCATCTGCCAGAGCAAAAGAATCTCACCATTATTCAGGTAAGTTAAAAAAAAACCCACACCTTTATAGTGCGGGAGGATGCTTTTTGTTACACTGTGTAGTATATCACACTGACATATTTATATCAAAGATTATTATAATAAAAGGAACATGTAGAAAATAATAAATATGTATTCAGTTAATAAGAAACAACGAAGCCTCGCTTCGATATTTTAAATAAACAAGAGTACCCAAAATGCAACAGTTATAAAAATGTTTACTAATAATATAATCAAATTAAATACCGGTAGACCAAGTTTATCGTAACTTCGCTTAGGACAAATTGATTTGTCCTAACAACTGATTTGAACAAAAAATAACTAAATGTACGCTTTAAAAAAAAATTACAATTTTACATAGCATATATTTGTCTTGAATTAACAATAGCGGAAGTAATCTTTTTTTGCCGTTCAATAAAAATATTCACATTTGGTTTGGAAAATACTAGCTGGCAAGTACAAACACGAGAAGATGGTGACATACATATTAGCCCTATTGGAAACGTCATATCATTGTTTCATAGTGGGCTTTATCGGTAGGTCATTGGCGTGACATTGCCTCTGTGTGTGGTTGAGGGTGTGGGGTGTGTAGGGGATCTGCTAGGTATACAGTTAGTAACATATTGTATTGCTAAGGGCATGGAATTACACCCCTCCCTATGTACTAGTCTATAAGCTGTCTCTGTTCTAGAAGGTTTAACATTATTTTTATGAAGGCGGAAGTGTGTCGTGCTTGCGGATTAGCAACAAGCCAAATCATAGATTTCAATGACGATACTTTAACCCCAGGCCTTTCCTTATCTTCAACTTGGCTCTTATACAAAAAAAAACCGAGGCTCTTATATAAGAAAATCCGTGTATGGCTAATAGACACGAGCATACCATGTCAGAAGTTTTTAAAATTTTGTTTGTGTGGTCTGCGTGCGGGTTCCCTTGGCTTGTAAACTTATGCTGAACTGGATTAGGTAGCACTTACTTCAACGTAGTTTTACATCAACGCAAGATGGAGGTTATTTCATAACTTGAAAGCAAATGTAGTCAATGGAGCATCATTTTTTCAACCAACGGTTCAACAACAATAACAGCAAAGGAATTGTGTTTCGTGAATGCCTAAAACGTGTGCTACTTTCTGACCTAAGTATAAAAAGTCGCTTTGTCCGAGCTAGGTAAATAAAGACTGACTCTGTACGACACCATATATGTCAGACGCTCATTCTAACATCAGCTAATAATTATAGTACTGTCTAAAATTTGTCTCACTCACTCCATAATTTTACACATAATTTAAACAAAACCGTACAATTGTTTTCACTAAAACTTCCAGCTCCCAGTTATTAGACCAATCACAGTCATGATAACAAAATTCACTATCTCGTGTTTGCTCTTGGTTTTTTTGACCAATGAAGCGGGAGCATACACTTTACGTCCACCGGACATGACGTCTTCAGTTACTGTTAACGGAAAGTCTGATTCTAAAAATTCCTGGTTAAATGACAAGTCAACCAATACAAAAAATAACAATGTACATCGTATGGCAATCCCATTTAATAACGTTGTATCATTTAAGAAAAAAGACGCCGTCCTGACAAAAATGAAAAGTAATTCCTCACCCAGTAACAAACTAACAATGGACTTAGGTGTCAATAACCAAGTGACCTCTGACCTCAATAACAGCAACAAAAGAGAATCTCTTCTCGAGTTGTCAAAAACACAATCATGCAATCCCAGAAGGAATTCAACTTACAGCATATATTCGGGATGTAGGTGCTACAACGAAACAAATTGCTGTGATTGCAGCGGCCTTCGACTAACATCCGTCCCTCAAAACCTACCGCCTAACATAACAAAACTTGACATGTACAACAACGCTTTAACTGAAATACCTCCGCATTCGTTAAATAAGTACTCACGACTTAGAATATTGCATTTGAATTCAAACAACATTTCAAAGCTGAATGAAAGCTCGTTTTCGGGTCTGGAAAACTTGACGTTTCTCCGACTGGACGATAATTCCCTAGCGATGACCCCTGACACGTTTCCCGTGGGTGTCTTCAAGCCTTTGGTGTCCCTCACGGCCTTGAGGTTGAATAAAAACTTTAACTCGGCGGTAGGAGGGAACAATTTTAGTTACCCAGATTTAGCGCTATCTGACTTGAAAAACTTGAAGGCGCTTTATATGGACGGGCTAACGAATGCGTCGTTCGGAGTGGGATTCAGTAGGATGACGTCATTGGTCAACCTGACCGTAACTGGCTATCTGGATGGATACTGTAATATAATTTGTTTAAGCAACACGACATTCCAGTACCTGGGACACATCAAGGTCCTCAACCTCAGCAACTGCCACCTACACGGAAAGCACATTGACAAGGATGCCTTCACGCCTTTGGTGAGCCTGGAGATGCTGGACATCCACTACAACGAGGACATTGGAATCAAACACCTGCAGCATATCATGCACGGGCTGAGGAACAACACGAACCTGTGGTGGCTGGACGTTAGCACCATCGAGTGGCGCTACTCCACCGGAACTCAAGTCAATGCCAGTCACGTGACCAACCTCCCCAAGTCCTTGACCACTCTCAAGGTCGCGGGGAACAGCATTGAGAAGATAGACAACGACACGTTCGACCATCTCCCCCCAAACTTAACTCTTCTGGACATCGGAAAAAACCGAATCGTGTTCGGGGTTTTCCTTGAATTTCTCCCAAAACTGACCAAACTCCAGACTTTACTGATCAACGGTGAAGATTTCCTCTACAACATCCCCACATCATACAAGAAAGAATTCATCGAACATTTTCATTCCCACCGCAAGAGGAGAAGCGTTGGGGATGACAACGCTCTAGTATTCCACCTCCCACCACAACTGTCCCGGATAGAAATGGTTAACGCTGAGTTGCAGTACCGTCTGTCACGGCTGACGATAGACAGCAACAACTCCCTGACAGACCTTGTGTTGGACAGAAACTTTTTGCCTGAGCTGCAAGGTCCGTTCATCGGCTTCAATCATTTGACCACCCTCAGTATCTATTCGAGCTATGTTAGTTCCCTGGAGTGGACGTTTTTCTCCAATTTCCCGCGTTTGGAGAATCTTAACCTCGGCACAAACCTACTTGGGGATTTTTTAAACACTCTTGACGATCCTGTTTTCGCTAATTTGACAAATCTGAAAAAGTTAGATCTTTCTATTAACAACATTCAAAATTTAAGTTATGGTTTATTTATCGGTCTCAACAATCTTACTATTCTAGATCTGTCAAACAATCGTCTTTCGGAATTTAATGTAAAAATCAGTGGGATGAAAAACTTGAGACTGTTAAATCTGAGTCACAATTCGATCTCGTCACTTCCTGATGACGTGATGGAAAGCATTGATTGGCTGATTGACCACCAGATACCTGTTGAGGTGGAGCTGAACAACTGCCCTATTCTTTGCACGTGTCAAAACTTGAAATTCCTAACCTGGATGGTCAAGTCTCCAGCATTTAAGTCGTTCAAGAACTATATCTGTGCTCACGACGACGTGTACGTACGCTTGACCAACGGCTACAACAAAACCGTGGAGCTGCTGAACAAAGAATGCGCATCCAACGAGAAGCTCTTCCTGTTTGTTGTTGCCGCCACGCTGCTCGTGCTGTTTGCTATCGTCGGTCTCATGATCTTCCGCTTCCGGTGGAGCCTGCGGTACCTGTACCACGCGGCGATGCTGAACTTCCATAGACGACACGAGACAAAAGGCAACCAATTTGACTATGACGTTTTTATCTCCTACGCCAACCCGGATGAACTTTTCGTCCTAGAGGTTGTCGAGCCGGGTAAGTCTTTAGGAGAAGATAATGTATCTTTTGGTAATATACATATTAGGGTGTTGAAGTTTCCGTGATAATAAGGTTGTCTATTTGCCGATTACTAATTTTATGGCTATTTCGGTTTAACCCAATTACCTT